AGAAATGGTTCAAAGTGTTGGCTTGTTTTTAGCCCACTTCTTAATGTGTTGGGTATATATACATATCATTTTGATAATTACCTTGATCTTAGAATAATGAAATTCCTCAATCTTTTTGTCTTAATGTTAATAACATTATAATTTACTATTCACTAACAACATGTAACATTCATAAAATAATAATGATCACCACCGAAATTTTTTATTTTGCCATTCATCTCAATTCATATGTTCAAATGGAACATGATTATTGAATCATACAACGCCTAATTATTGCTAGCTATTAACACCTCGGATCTATCTATATGTTCTTTATAATATGATCTGATTCTAAAAAGTTTTTGAATTAATAACACTTAAATATGAAATATTACATCTTTTTTCAGAATAAAAACAAGAAATATATCTTTGTTAGTTGAACAAACAAGAGACATATATCATAAACCCAATTTGACAAGTTGCAATTTTAAGTATAAACAAACACTTAGATTTAGTACTTTGTAAGAAAACAAATGTTTGGGTATATAGCTCAATGTTGTAATAAGAAAAGGCACACACAAGCTTTGCAAGGAGAGAAGGAATGAATGAATGAATGAGGCCACGAACAATTTTGAAGCTATCGGCAAACAAAAATGGAAAGAGCACGTGTAGATGTGTAGTATCCATGAAGGTTGGAAAACAGATGAGATGGGGAAAAAGTGAACACCAACAAAGATTGAAAGTACCATTTCTTTTCTTATTTTTTCCTTCTCTCTAATTTGACAAAGTTACAGTGTCCTCTGTATTTTCATTTGGCAAGGTGGTTGTGTGTTTCCTTGTTTGTGCCCCACTTGACAACTAATAAATGGGGACTTATTGTAACTCAGTCGGCAACTAATGGACAAATTAACCTAGCTTAGGACTTAGGGCTTGTCTCTCTCTCTCTCTCTCTCTCTCTCTCTCTGACTATTCTTTGCATTAAGAAACACTATGGTCTTTGTCCTAAGAACTATGTAGTATTAAGGAAATATAAATGGGTTTTTCTCATTTTCAACTCACCATTTCTTTTTTTCTGCCAATAATTACTCACCTTTCTTAGAGTGGTGAACAATGAAACAAGATTTGTTTAAAGCAAAAAAGCCTCTATATTATGATTGTTTCTTTGATTAAATTTTTAATTTTTTTTATGATATCCAAATGAGACTTCAATCTTTGATTCTATCTTTTTAATCTTAATGAAAAATTAACCGTCATTAGATTAAATGTCAATTGGTATTTTTTATCTAAGTGACAAAGTGTAAACCACTAACATGATTGATACATTTGGTCACGTTAGTTGTTAATTGGGTCAGTTAACATTATATCTTGCATTGATTAATTTTTTAGTAAGATTAAAATTTATTTGGGTACTAATTAAAATTTAGAAGCACGTTTGGGTACAATAATACATAGATTTTTTACTATATAAACCAAAAAGATTTTGATAAGTTGGTTCAGCTCAAAAAAATAATGGAAGGGTTGATAAAGAGTTTTGCTTCACCCAAAAACTGGCTTTGCAAGCACTATCTTTTTAATAGCAAACTAGAGCTAATGGAGAGTCAAGGTAATAGTAGGTTCAACAATTTTCATTTCAAAATAAGTTATATGCAGAAATTAAATGTTGGCTACCCTTTACTTGGTAATTTGGGTGCTTGAGAGTTTTTTGTGACTACGCTGAAATGAAACTGCAATGTCGCACTGTGTCTGTGGTTAATTTATCTATGACAGCAAACTTAAATAGGCATTTGAGTAAACTTTTTTGGTCAATCAATGACTCATGTTTTGATTTTTTAAAAAAATAAAAAAGTGAAATGCAAGTGTAATGTCGTACTAAGTCTGTAATTGATTTTATCTATGACAACAGACTTGAATTGATATTCATGTAATCTTTTTCTATCAATCAATGACTTATACTTCGTTCTTTTTTTTTAAAAAAAAAAATGAAATGTAATTGCAATGTCGTATCGAATTTGTGATTGACTTTATCTATTATAGCAGATTTGAATTGATATTCATGTAATCTCTTTCAGTGAATCAATGACTTATGCTTTTTTTGAAAAAAAAAGAAAGGTGAAATTTTGAACCTAAAATACTCCAAATTCACTAAAGTCAAGGGCAAGGGCCCGTAATGTTGGATAGGTGTAGGATCATTGCATGTGATTGAAAATTCAAGACCGAATAACCAAAGGCAAACACCAACCTGAGTACAAAGCATGTCGTGTCCAGTAGCTAGCTAAAGCAATGGAGAAAGACAAGGAAGAGAAGGTGGTATAGCAAGTACGTGGATAGCAATGAACTCTAGGTAATGGACCTCCTCGCATAAATGTGTTGATTCTAGTCATATAATAAGCTCATTTACATGTGAATAATGAATATCAGGGATGTTTCCTCCTTTCGGATAACCAGAGGCCAACCACACAAACCTATACCAGCATATTGTCTTTACTGTGAGGGGAAGAACCGGGGCCTGTTGGCAATTTGGCAAGCACCCAGGAGCTTCCACTTTTCAACTTGTCCTTCCCCACATGCACCACTCTCGTTTACCACTCGGAGATAGTACTTCCTCTTACTGCTCACCCTTAGTTACAGGTGGTAAAGCCAAACCGACCCACATCTAAAATTCGTGTTTACAATTAGATGTTTCAGGTTCTGAGATTTATAATTACGTGTGAGTTTATCCAATTTTTTGTTGAATTAATGTTAATTAGATATCAGTTTATTGATTTATTTAATTTATTTAATTTTTTTATACGATAGATTGGATAATTTAACTTTAAGTATCATTTTTGTATAATTATTTTAATAACATTGCGAGGAAGAACAACATAATTTTAGGCTTCAAGCATGCAAATGTTTACTTGTACATTTTCTCACACTGTAAAAGTGGGATGGAATAGGGTAAGTTAAAAGCACTCAAATAATTCATCTATGCTTGATTCTTGTAGCACAAGATGTTAAAACAGCAGCAGCCAAACATGGAAGTACAATTATTTTCATAATAAGACTGTGGCTAAGCTGTCATGGCAAATTTTACCCTTTCACCAAAGAAACCGAGAAAGCCCTACTTTGGCCCCAGTAGCTTTTACATCCCTTTCGATTTGCTCCCTATACTCTTTGAAACTAAAGTTTCTGTACAAAGCTGGCTCACTGCAGCTTTGTATTACAACTTCGTAGGTGGGGCAGTAGAAGTATGCAATAGAGTACCTTTCAACCCCTTCATTTGCAGCCACTCGGTGAGTGACACTCTTGTAAATGCCATTGCTCAATGCCTGCAGTACATGGAATCTCTGTTTTAATTCGTGGACGGGAGATTACTATATGTACATATCTATTATTGAGTTGAATGTTCACATATCGTATACTTACGTAACAAATAAAAAATCAAGAATGAAAATAATCTTTGATATATTATTATGTTGTCATTGTAATTACTAATTATATACTATATATTACCTGAAATAAGTCACCAATGTTGATGACTAAGGCCTTTGGATTGGGTTTAATACTAAACCATCTTCCATCTGTATTGAATTGCAATCCCCCTACCTGGTCTTGGGATAAAATGGTGAGGAAATCAGTGTCAGTGTGAGGGATAATGCCAAACATCCTGGAAGAGTATGGACAAGGAGGATATCTGTTCAGTCGAAGAGAACTCGAGCTTGGTGAGCAGTTCTCTTGGAAATAATTTGGTTTGATGCCCAATTTTTGTGCTAAAAGTTCAGCTAATGTTTGAGCCAGTAAATTAGCTTTTCTCGCATACTCTTGTATTGATGACCTGAAAAATGGTGAAACAAAAAAAATAAGGTCTTGAATGATTCATTGTATCAATTTTGTATATATTTACTGAGACATTGGAGAATTCTTGAAATAATCAGTACTAACAATTCAATCCACATGATTACAAAGAAACCGAAGTTTTGGAGAATTCTAGAAATGACCGCATGCCTTAGCTAGCCTCTTCATTAGCATAAGCACATTGTGGGTGACAGCCACAGTGACAGTGGCCTGGTGGCTAAAGGCACACCTGGCCATGGCGGCAGCCCTCCAGGGCGATGACACGGGTGGGGCTTCGAAATGTTTGGCAGGTAGTAGCATAAGACCAACCATAGATATATGAAGCAACATATAATTATAAGACTGTGATAAGGTAAACTTGCACTCATTGATAAATGAGTAAAACCAAAATCTTATATACAAATGAATATCCATTCTTTTATAAAATCAAAGAATATCTCTCAAACCTTGTTATAGTACCAAAAAAAAAAAATATGAGACTGTTATAAGGTTTGAGAGTGTAATTTGCATCATGGCCATAGTGTAATTTGAAACCTTAAGTTCCCAATAATGTCTATCTAGTTCTAGCTAGTGTTTGAGGTATAACCTTTTCATTTTTCTTTATCCTGTTGGTTTAACAGCCTAAAAGTTGTTCCTTGTTATTTCATGTAAAGGCAATGAAGGACTATGATGGATGTACTATAGGAAATAAGATAAATAACGAGGTACCTGAGGTTGTTGCATTCATCCATTCTCGAAATATCTTTGAGCGATATATGCAAGGCTTCTGACCAAGAAAGGTTCCTCAAGCTGGTAGCTAGGGGGTTCCCCCATCGGTAGCTATGGGCTGATAAATTCAAAAACTTCTGCTCGGCCTTCTTGTCAAAGGGTAGGTGAAACACCTTCATCTGCTCATACTTCAATCTGTCCAGCAACCCTCCTGGAATCCCATGATTCACAATTTGAAAGAAACCCCATTCACTAGCAGCTTCAGCCATCTGTTCTATGCACTTTTGCCTCTCGATTGGTCCAAGATTCAAACCACTGAGATCAATCAAAGGCAGCTCAAATTCCTCAACCACTTCAATCGTGGAAAATTTCTCCTTTTCAGCAGAGCTCTGCAAGATGGCCTTGTATTTCTCGAAAAATGGAGGTTCAACACCCATTGAGATAGAGAGGAAGTCGGACTATCTTCTCAATCCTGATCAGACAAATGTACATGAAGTAAGTAATTATCATCCTCAAAAGAACTATTTAATGAATTGTAAATGAAAGTGTTCATTGTTAGAAACATAAAAAGTTTGAAAAACATGTATCACTGAATAAATGATCCTTATGGTGACATATGGATGCATAGTTCATACAATGATTACTTATAGTTGGAGACCGGAAACAATTGAAAATTAAACTAGATCTTTCAAAATTATGTTTGCTTCTTGTGAATTCATACATTCATACATACATACATATATATATATAGTAACATATCAATGTCCTAACTCCTGCTGTACGTTTTGATATGTCTGCAATTACTGAATTGTTATCATTATTTCATGACAAATGGCGATGGAAAAATACAAAAAATTTTGGTCCCCTTTTTGCAAAAGGTCAACAAATTTCCAAATTAAGGCCATCAGGGAATCAATTTCATTCCTAGAAGTAGTTAAAACATTCCTTGTATGGTTAAACGTGTTGCATTGTAGCTGTTCTTGCCTCCTGAGCTGTCAATTAATTACTTTTTACTTTCATACATACTGAAAGAGATTTTATCAGCAGATACATATGTTCTGATTCACATTTTAGATTATGAAGTATTACTACTCGGAAGAGAAACTTTTTCAATTTCCATATATAATACCTTAAATGAGCTTGGAAGATGCTACATCAGCAAGTGTTCTTTATTTTGAATTGGCTTACAAACATATGCCCAATTCTCCAAACTCTTCCATTCCTCAAACTCTGATTCCAAGTCTTTATAGCTCGAAACCTGTCACCAGACGAAGTTTACAGGCCTTAATTTTTGCCATGGCTATGTTAGGAGGATCAGGTAATTGCAGATAGACAAGTCCACTTATGTATCAAATCTCCTTGGAAATTACCTGATAGCTAGCCTTAGCAGATAACAGACAAGCTTAAGGGAATTATAAAGAGGACAACAATAGCCACACTCCATTTCTGCAATTCACATAATCAAAAATGTTAATGGAAGTTATATTATTAAAAGTAAAGTAGCATAAAATGGGATGGATTCGAATAATCATAATTCAATTCCTATAGCATCCGTGATCAATTCCATTGCTTTGATATGCTGGATGACCAACTTTGGGGGGGGTTGATAAGAGCCCTGGAGCTCTTGAAAAGAAATTGACAAGTTAAAGAAAAAAAGACTACTGCATCCGTAAATTTTTGTCAATATCTCCAGATCAGCACCAAACTGTTTCCTGGAGCAGACTCTTTGGCTAAAGCTTGGTGTGGCTAAGCTTGGTGTGGACAGGAATGATATTTGCATAGCTGGTTGTAGCTTTTGATGGTTAGTTGGGTGTTGTATCAAGTCTATCCCAGGCTTTCTTTGGTTTGTCTTTTTTCTCTCTTTGCACCTCTTATTTATGGTTTGGTTTTTTCTGTTGTTGGATTTCAGGTGGTTCCCCTGCACACCCTATTCCTATGGAGGCAGACTTCTTTCATTGACTAAGCAGAATGACAAAAAAAAAAAATTAGGGCTTTATGCAGAATTGGTAATCATCATGTCTTCTGGCATATGATTTAAGAAGGTAAATCATTAACATGACACTGATCACTTAGAAGAGACCAAAGGAAACTTGCAGAAGCAGTTCTTTCTACCATCCAGGAAAAGGTTGCACACTATAGCTATATATAAAATACAGAAAAAAAAAAGGATGATGAACTTCCTACTCCATGGACTGCTTAGATCTCTCCTATGACTAACACAAGAACAAGCAGAAAAATATACAGACGTCCTTTGCAGGGAATCACCTTTCTAACTAATAAATATAAAGGGAAAATGTACTAGAATGAAAATAGACAATAGGGGTAAAGGTGAAAAGTATAGTTTACATGGAAAAAGTAATGTAATACACTAATATTCTAGGGTTTTTTGAGCTTTGAAAGAAAAGAAAGAGAAGTAACCCATGGTACAAAAATACATAGAGAGACAGGTTCATCTTTATTTATCAGAGAAGAGAAATGGGATAGACAGCAATAAATTTTTGACATAATATTCAAAAAAGTTGCTGAATTATTTAAAAAATTTCAAATAAGTCCTTTAAACAAAATATATTTGATTTAATTGCGATATTATTCAAAAGGTTTAATGGAGTTAGATTACTTATAATTAATTGATAATAAATGATACAGAAGCAAGTTATTATAACAAAAATGTTTACATTTCTAAATAATATGGCAATCTCTTAACATCCACTCATGTGTAAAATCAATACAACCTGAAACTCATTGTATAAGATTAAGAAGATTAAGACTCCAATAAGTTAATATTTTCACTAATTAATCTTTGCTTCTAAAAGTAAAAGTAAAAAAAAAAAGATGAAAAAGTAATAAGCAGGATAAATTATTAGTTCAACACAAAAGAAAATAATAATCTGAAAGATTATAGATAATACAATTAATCCATGATTATACTTTAAATAAACCAATTATATTATAGTTGGTATTACACTTTGATTATTTTTCAATTTTTTAATCAATTATGATTTTGTTTGTTACCTTTCTCTTTGCTTTATATATAGCAATATTTCAAGAAACAAAAACTGATAATAACAGTATCAACTAAACAGAACTTAAGCAATAAAATAACAAATGGGTAACAACTTAAGCTAATTTGAAAAAAAAAATGGTCCATGAATACCTTTCCAGAAACTAATACTTTTACAAATTTTCTATATTGTTAGGGTAAAATAATTTATACTTAGTGGTAGTTTGAACCGAAATTTGATTTTTTTTTTTGTATGATGCCAATATAATTTAAGCTCGGGTGTTTAGTTACTTAATTGTTAGGCGTTTCACTGTTTTTTATTAGCATTTTTTACTTATATTAAATTCTAATAGTAATAAAAATTTGCTTTGATATGAAAAATAAAAATACAAGGTGTGAAGTGAGTGCTCACTCATATAATCCTTTTCCTCACCAATAATGAAAGCAAGCTCGAAAAGGAGAAAAAACATATTTCCCACTAAAACTAGCTTTCAATTTTTTTCACAAGGGCAAGTGTGACTGCCTACCAAATGAAGAAGAAGTATGTGTGTAAGATATCCAACATTTCATATTCGTACAACCATGTCCCCAACCCCCTTTGATATGGAAATGACTTCACAAAATTTTGATGTCGACATTTAATTTATTTTTTTCAATTAATTTTATCATAGGTAATTAAATATATGTGTGTATGTACGCATGTGTGTCATGAAATTATATATTTTATTATTTTTATCAAAAGTTATATTTTTATTTAATGAATCAAATAGTCATAAAGGTGACAAATATCTTATAACCAAAGAGAGATTTACATGTTTCCAACTAAAAAAAGTGGTTGTGAAATCTTTCAAATGAGAAAAAAAAACCAAAAGAAGAAGAAGAGAAAAGACACAAGTTAAAGAGTTTAAAAGAAGCATAGGAGTCAATGATGTTCTTCATTGGTTTAGAATTTTGGACCATATAAATATATATATATATATATATATATATATAGGTTGTGAAGGAATTGGTAGAAAAGAAAATTGATTCTATTGACAGATAGAATTTGTGGAGCATTCTATGTCTCTGATTTGTTAGGGAAGAGATTATCTTTGAGTGGAAAAGACAAATGATGAAAGAGCCAAGTGTTTACAAACAAAAATAAGTGTGGTCATGTGTTGGGAGACAGAGAGAATCCTACCTTGTAATAATATATAATCCATAACATTAGCAGCCAAATTTAATGAGTAATTAAGGAAGCCCAAATCACATAAGTGAAGCTAACCCGCACCTTGTTTTCATGGGCTAACTTAAAAATTAAAAATCTTTCTCTAATTTGGTTAATAATATGTTAATTATTAGGGAAAAAAACTTAAACCTAAGGTATGGGTTTAGATTGAAAAATATATATTTCTAGTAAATTATTAATAATATTTTCTGTAAAAAAAGAATATTACATTACCATCAAATTCGTAATTTTGATTTGTCTCCTCCCTACTCTTCAACCAAGCTTTCATATCACAAAAATCTAATCTCTCTCTCTCTCTCTCTCTTTCTCTTTTGCCCAATGAATTCAGACTTCTATTTTATCCAAAGGCAGAAACAGTTAATGGATGATGTTGTTGTGCCCTCTTGTCTATTGAAGAACCTGAAAAAGGTAAGATAAGAACTAAGAACTATGCAAAAATAAATCATGCAAATCCCTCCATAATTTCCCTGCTGAAACAAGATATAAAGCAGGGTTTCTGTCAACATGGCAAAATGAGATCAAATTGTCACTTAAACCTAAAATATTGCCAAAACCTGTGATGTCCTAAGGAAACCAGGTTTCTTTTCCATTGCTTTGCCGTCATGGCTTGGAATTTGCCCAAAATCACCAGACATTTGCAACCACTTCACGTGGTAAGGAAGGGCCCTAACCCCATAAACATGTATGGATGGATGTGTCTGGCCATGCAAAGGCTTGCCAAAGCTTGATCTGATTTTTGTGTCAGCCATTCACTTTACACGCCACAGACATACTGCCATCTATCTAATCAAAGCTTTCCAACTCAAGGCTCACGTGCCTCCCGAGTTCTTCTGTCTTACATGAAGGGACAACCCAACAGTTTCACGTAATTAAGAAAGACTGAGCTGATGTTCTTCTGCCCAAAATCACGTGGCACCCAGCACCTGGCTAGCCTCCTTCGACTGAACTTCACGTGCTATAGGAAGAGTTCCTCACCCCATAAGCACGTGGATGGATGGGCCGGGGCCCATGCAGAGGTTTGACACTTGGCGTGGCAGCTTTTTTTTTTGTCAGTCAAAGCAAGCCATGCATGGATGCAATTAGCTTTGAGATTAAGCTTCGACATTTAATCAAAGCTTTCCCACTCAACGCTCACGTGTCTCCCCATTTCGTGTGTCCTATGTAGGGCACTCAAACACTATTACTTCTTTCTATCATTTGAATCGTGTTTATTAGTTTATTAGAATAAAAACAGAAGAAATGTGTAGGATAAAAACTAGTAAACGATTAGATACTACTCATGGAGGAGACTCAAAGCCCAAAAGCAGATGCCTACTCTACAATCAGTGCCGCCATTGGTGGCTGCAGGTGTGGCGTGGCCTGGTAATTTAACAACCTGAGGTATAACTTTGGCTGCAGATCAAAGTTATAAAGTCAGCCAAGGAAACCTTCCAGGAACACAAATAATCTTAATCGGATAGAATTTTGTGTTGAATTTGCAAAGCTCCATGGATGCTATCCAACTGTGTCTGTATCTGATGAGTAACACATTGTGAAGGATTATGTGCTTGAATCATTTTGCAAGGGCTAGAACTTCAGAAAAAAGAAGAAGTGGGGCTGAAATTTACGTCTCCAAGCATGAATTTTCCATAGCAATCCACTCGTTGCTAGCTGGATTGTATACATATATAAAAATACCAGCAACAATGGTGTTGTTGACCTTGATTGGTACCTTGGGATTAATCGATAAAATCATTGATAAAGCCAAAGCCAATGTTTGAATGATACTGATGTTCATGTTCTTGAGAGAAAAAGACAAAAAGAAAAAAAAAAGGCCATACGGAACCAAAACGAGACACAGAAGAGAAACCAGACAGGATTTCAGTTGCAACATGTCAGGGACATCGAAAAGATTAGTTTGCTTTGCTTCTCATTTCTATAGCAGAAGTAAAGAAACCTGAGGATTATATTCATAGAACTCATACTTTTGCGTATGAATTGATTAGAGAGAGATCGAAAGAGAGAAAATGATAAAAGTTCATGGGTTTCACCATGATTACGACACTCATACTTCAAACAAAAAATGGTTTTATGGAATTTTAAGTGACTTGCATACAAAAACCTTCGCTGCTGTGAAAGAAATTGACAGCGCTCATGCCTCATGGGCTTCATTGGGCCTTCGGCTTAGGATTTTTGCTTTGGTTCCCACTAGTGAAGAAAGCTCGAGGATTGTTTCAACCCAAGTGAGGATGCAGAGTAGGGTTATCAACAGGTACAGCTAATTTCGAGATATCTTACCCTATTAATAAATAAGGTACTAAATCCTATAATTACTTGATTATTTTTGAAATTTTCTACTCGAAGTACTTGAATTATAATATTCCACTCATTCTTCGTTAACTAATAGTACTCATTTAAATATCCAATTGTGCAAAAAAAAATTATTAACTTTTTCATAAATACCTAATTACCCGAACTCAAATTGATATTTATATAAGATAATGATTATATTTTACCAATTTTATCCATATAATTCACTAATAATTAATTTTATACAAACAAAAAATCATTAAAATTAAAACTTAAACAATGAATTATTATAAAAATATCTTAAACAACTTTCATAACTAAAAACAAATAAATAAATATTCATAATAAATACCTATAATTGAATCCGAATATCAATACACAAGAGATGATATTCATACCTTACTTGAATTAAAAATGAGTACTAAAACTTGCTACTCCTACTCATCCCAAATTCGAATATAAAATATCAATACTTTATGTAATCAAGATAGATATCTACAAGTGCTCATTTAAAGAGTACCCATTACTCTCTTTAGTGCCCATATACAATTTTACTGCTCACCTTAGGAAGGAATTTATATTCTGAATAATGTTAATAAGATATTATTAATATTTGAACTTAAGAACATTCACGAAAATCGAATTAAATTTTATTCATGAAATTAAATAAAATAAAATTCAAAA